CATGGGTACCTGGAAGCCCGAATTTTGAATTTCGAATTTGTTATATTATCACTTTCATATTTTCCATAACTTTAACGAATTTTTGATAAACAAACTCAACGATTTCCAAGCTAGCAATGGCAATATTGTACAGAAAAAAAACATTCTTATCTCCAGCACGCGACTGCCTATCGGAAATTCTAAAGATATGCTGTTTTTAAATATTTTGTGATATTGATGTTGAATTGAATTTTACGTGTTTTAAGTGCGAAGAACATGATATTTAATATATAAAGTACAATAATAAAAACTTCTTTTGGGGCATAATGTAATATGAAAGCTTTCAGTTTTTTTAACGTTATTTTTTACTTTAATGCCCTATTATCTGCATCATTTAAGGATATGAAAACAGCATAGATGAAAAAGAAGCTAAATGGTGCCTTATCATGCAGAGGCAAAATGGTGTAAATCAGAGACATTAATTTTCAGCCTTACAACTTTTCTCATAATAAATTATGTTTTAAATTCTTTAATGTTTTAGAGTCCCTAGTTATAAATAGTATGATTGGTATTTTTGCCTTAAATCGCTTTATTACAACATTTGAGAGCATGACTGATACAACCTGCAATGTATAATATAAAATAATATTGTTCTATTATAAGATTGTCACCAACTGTACGATGCAAATAACTGCTCATGTTATTCAGTCTACTCAGACGAACATAATACTCTGTAAGAGTAATTATTCTTGGAAAAAGCGAAAAACGGCAAAAGGAAAAGTCCTAAGAAGACAAAAAGATACAGTTACCAACATGTGGAAATTCTTCAATGTTATTTATTTATCTAGTAGTGAATATATTTCATTAGATATCATCTAACTTAGACATTTTTGTGCTATACATCAGGGGTGGCCAAGACGTCGACCGCGAAGACATTTTAAGTAGTCCGTGCGACCATCCCGATAATGACCTCGGATTAACAACAGTTTACGCTTAAAACCTAAAACAAGCTGTGCAAAGTAATATAATGAATTTTTCGTTCTACAGTGGAGAATTAAATAGAAACAACTTGACAAAGTGGGATGCTTAGATTATATACAGTAGGTGGCGCGATGATAGCGACGCGGCGAGTCGACTAAGTGTACCCGTCACACAAAGTTCTTTAATATTAACCCGTCACAGTTTCAGTTCTCAGTTAATCGTCTTACGTTGCATGTCGCTCTCTTCCTACCGCACCGATACGATAATTTGTTGTTTCAACAACCCGTCCAAAATGACTCAACCAGGTACCAGTGCTAAGAGAAGTAAAACATACCATTATCACAATGAGTGGGAAGATGATTTCTTTTTTGTTATGGTGAAGGAGAAATGTGTTTGTTTCATATGCAACTCAAGTGTTACACTACCAAAAAAGGCAAACGTCGAAAACATTTTAAAACCATGCACCAATACGCTACAGACTTTCCAATCGGCAGTGAACTTCGAAAAGTTAAAGTGCATGAATTAAAGTCGAATTTACATTTACAGCAATCGTTATTTACCAGACCAGGCACCAAAGCTAAAGCAGTAACATTGGCGTCGTTTAAAATTACAGAAGTTTTGATAAAGCGAAAAAAACCATTCGAAGATGGAGAATTGATAAAAGAAGCTTTCTGTAAAGCTGGAGAAGTGCTTTTCCCCGATTTTAAAAACAAATCAAATAATATCGTCAATAAATAATATTTCTTTGTCGCGTAACACTGTGATGCGACGGACTGAAGCTATGAATAATAATTTGGAGGATTTATTAAATGACGATTTAAAAGCATGTATGTTCCTATCACTTCAATTTGATGAATCCATGGATATTAGTGACATTGCACAGTTATGCATTTTTGTGAGAATGGTTTTCGAAGATATGACTTCAAAAGAAGAGTTATTAACTATCATTCCATTGAAAGGATAAACGAGAGGCCAAAATATCTACAATTTATTTAAAATCTTTATTGATAAGACAGGATTTCCAATACATAAATTGGTCTCTATTACAACAGATGGAGCTCCAGCAATGGTCGGGAATCGAATTGGTTTTATTGCCTTGCAATAATGATAAGGTGTGGTGTTGGTGTATTTAATTATGGCAAAGTACACGAGGGCTATCTGCCTAAAGGGATGGATGCCTTTCGTGGAGGACTTTCTAAGGGAAACTGGCTCGTATACACGTTACACATGGGGAAAACCACGAAAACGCCCATGCAGCCAGCCCGTTCGCGGGATTCGAACCTCAGACCGAACTACCAGTGTTCAGCGTCTTTACCGCTCGGCCGCTGGTGGGCCCAATAATGATAAGGAAATTCCCAGTTTTACCAGCTATCATTGCATTATCCATCAACAAGTATTGTGTACAAAAATACTAAAGTCTAACGATATAATGCAAATTGCTTTTAAAATCGTCAATTCAATTTGTTCAAGAAGTCTTCAGAGACGAGAATTTAGGGCGCTTTTTGGAAGAAACTGAATCAGAGTACGGAGATCTCTTATTGCACACAGACGTGAGGTGGCTAAGCCGTGGAGCTTTTTTAAAAAGATTTCGTATTCTGCTTGCAGAAATAAAAAATTTTCTACAAATGAAAGGAGAGCACATTACTGAATTGGAAGATGAGAAATGGCTCATGAAACTAGCTTTACTCTGCGATATCAGTGCAAAACGTAACGACTTAAACCTAAATCTACAAGGAAAGAATAAATGTTTAACAGACATGATGAGCGCGATTAAAACTTTCAAAGAAACGATAAAAAGGTATGCGTCTCAATTAAGAAAACATGAATTGAGAAACTTCAAAAACATGGAGGAAGAATGCATCCATAATCCAAACCGAGACTTCGAAGATTTAACACCTAGATGTTTTGTTTGAAGAATTTGAAAGAAGATGCGCTGATTTAATTAGGTTGGAAGAAATACTCAATTTTATGATATTTCCATTTTTTAATGAAAATGTCAACATTGATGGAGTATCTGAAAAAATAGGACATTTAATAGATACCACATCAGTTACGGTCGAAGAAGAAATTATTAAATTAAGACACGATATGTTTCTTAAATCCAGAGCATCTAGCGATACTGATTTTTAAAAAATAATTTCTGAGGAAACGTTTCCAAATATTTACAAATTGATTTTGTATTTGAAATCATACTTTGGATCGACGTATCTTTGCGAATCAGCTTTTTCAACCATGAACGCCATAAAAACCAAACATCGGTCGCGTTTAACAGATGAACATTTAATTTCGTGTTTACGCATTGCAATAAGCTCGTGCCAGCCACAATATGATAAACTCGTCGCAGATATACAGTGCCAAATTTCAACTAAACGAAGTGAATAGGATGGTCAATTTTTGATATATGAATACTTTGATTATTTTCGTCAGTAAATTTTTATTTTGTAAATATTAAGTTTTTTAGAAAAATTAGATAATTTACCATTTGTTCTTGTTACCGAAAATAAATATATAAACATGTACGTTACGTTAATTTATCTCTGCCATTGGTAGACCGCCTTCGATTTTTTAAATGTGGAGTAGACCACAGATCCCAAAAGTTTGGCCACCCCTGCTATACATAATACTGAACCACATATCTCATGACTGAAAATATCAGCATCACCAACTTGCACAAATGTAAGAAAAAATTGGGAAATTCCTAATCGTGTCTGACTACTAACTTTATTAACCAAATGTAGTTCATTAAAGATTTCACTTCAAATAATAAAGTGAACCGTTATGTGTTAACCGAACATAAATCTATTTTGTGACGCTTAGTAAGAAGGGATGTGATAAATCGCGAAATTTTTAAATTTTAATGATATTTCTTGGTTATGCGATGATTACCGATAGTAATCTATTGGCACCTTTTTTAACAACAAAATTTAATTTTCTGATTATCGGCTGGTATTGTTAGGCAGTCGCTCTGGAAACAGTATAAAACAACTTGTTATTCTCTGAAGCTTGTCTCTGCGTTCGCATGAACTCTGATAACAACTGATGACAAGTTGTGCAATATAACCGCTCATTCTTCATTTTACCGTTCCAACCTCGCGTTCCACTGTTTGCCTCAGTCTGCAGATCAAAGTTAGTATTGGAATAAAAAAAGGTCTGTATTAGCTAAGAGCAGAAAGAGCATTAACAAGAAATATAATGGAAATATCATCTCCGTAAAAGAATTCGGAACAGCTTTCTAGGCTTGCCAAACGTGAGTAAGAATCAAAATCATGGATGGTGTATTTCGCGATGTTAATCAACAAATACTAGTAAAAGCATTACCTATAATAATTTTAAAACTCTTTAAGTAATTTTCAGTTTCGACAAGGTTCCTAAAATCGTGATTGGAGAAATCGAAATTCACATGGATGCAATAAATTAATTTCTCGTGATGCGAATTTTCTTATTCTTACACTTGCTCTTGAAGATGTTAAAAATTAACTTGCATGCATTTGACGTGACGCCCCATAATGGAGAGAAAGTAAAATGTACGATTCCCATAAATACATTGTTATATTATTACCTCTTTTTTCCATTATATTACAAAAATGATTTTAAGCACTAAGTTTAATTTTGTGCAATTTTTCTTTCACAATTTTTTTAATTTTGTAGAGACAGTACTGCACCGTTGGTACATTTTTGTATCTTTTCATACATTTTGCACATTCATTGCTTTAAAATCCTCTACTTTGCTTTATTAGTTGTAGTAATTAAAAGTTGAAAAATTAATTAGTATATGATTTTTATGTACACTAACATTTTTTCCTCGTGGCTTGGTGCAAAGAGCTTAATGTAAAATATATTCCATTTAAATAGATCAGTTATATTGTTTTTTACTTGCATTTAATGATTAAGAAAACTACAAAAAGAAAATTAAATCACATAATAGTTTTCAAGGGTCGAAATTAGTTTGAATTTGAATACCTAAGTTAAAAACTCTTGTGAGTTTCGTACTTTGCTTTTAAGCTCCTACAATATAGTTATTGTAACATCTAAGAACTCACCAGAGTGCATGCTATCAAAATAATAGGGGCCGTTGTTCCCAAAACTGTGGCAGTCATTGCTTGACTTTCTGGAAATAATCCCATCTGAAAAAAAAAAATCATAAAAATTAAACATCAGATTATAAATTTTTTTGGAAAGTTGTATCTAAAACAGGTTAAAACAGGTTTTATATTTGGTTAAACTATTTTGTTTTCCATTTCAGCAACATTTATCAGAGCAACAGATTACTTAAATTATGTTAATAAGTATCATAACAGTCATCTGTAAAAGTATATGGGTAAATAGGTACCTTATTTACTCATATACTGTACGTTGTAAATATTACTGTACCTTGTTTAGCATTTTAGGCTTAATTCCTAAAGTCCCGATGCCTTATCATGAACATATTGGGATATAAAAAATATATAACATTATTATGTCTATATGAAATTATTTATAGATTTTGCAAGTATATCAAACTAGTTTTTCCAATAAAAAATAAGAGAAAAATAATTAATCCGTCTTTTAAAAATTATATTATTATTATAGCATTGTTAATACTAAAATACAAATGGTGTGGTGAAATATATACTTTACATAAATTATTTTTTGTTATCCAGATTAAAAGCAATTTCTCAGCATACTCTTATGCCTCGGATTCTTTATTTGGAAATCGATTCCACTTTCAACGATTCCCTTCGCAACGTTAACCGGTTTAATAGCGTCGTTAGTTTTTACAATCGCAGATACCGTCGTTTCCGGTATACGCTACGCAGCAGCCAAATCCTGAATAAGCAATGCTGTAAGATCATGTTTCCAACAACCTCTTTTTTCATCTCCACGGCGATCCTAACCAGTTTCTTCGTGCTTTGCCATAATCAAATAAACCGAACCAAACCTTGCTTGATTCTTCATATTGACTTTCGTAAAACGCATTATTAACGAATTTAGAAAACATTTAATAAAAATCACACACACATTCACGTGAAAATGCAGAGTTACAGCGCAGGTTGTTTACTGAATACATCAACAGCTATATTGATGCATGGGCAGTAGTAACATTACCTAGAAATAAGTAAACAAGAGTAATGCACGTAGTCGTTACGCATTGAGCTCGAGTGGTATTCCAAACAAATTATGGCATCCCAATCAAAAATCTTCCCTTCCAAAGGCGATGCGCAAATATATCAAGTCTGACTTACATTGGTGTGCAAAAATTAAGGACGAGACGGTTTTTTCAATATAACTTTGTACAAAAGCTTTCCAAATCAACACATTTAATACCGTAAGATCCCCAATACGTAAGGACATGAGTAATGTAAGCAACACTTACTAAAAGACAATCAGAGGGATAAAAAGAAGCTTTATTGAAAACGGTAGCTGGGAGCGCAATGCGACTGAAGGCCGAAACATCCCTGTGATGGGTGTCCAGCAAGAAACATCCGGTCTTTAATAGGGGATATGATCTCCCCTGACTGCTAGGCAGGTTTCACAGCGTCTGCCCATGCGAGAAATGAGGGTGTCAATGAGTTGTTGAGGCATTGCTGCCCATTCGTCTTGCAGCGCCAATCGAAGCTCCGGAATCGTTACTGGTGGGTAAGGTACGAGCTGCCAAGCGTCTGCCTAGAAAATCCCATACATGCTCGATGGGATTGAGATACGGAGATCGTGCCGGCCAATCCATACGTTCAATATCCTCATTCTCTAAGAGCTGTTCAGCAGCTACTGTGCGATGACATGGTGCATTGTCGTCCATGAAAAGGAACTGCGGACCCATAGCGCCTCTAAAAAGACGCACATATGGAAGAAGAATCTCGTTATAATAATGGGTCCCGTTGACTGAACCTGCGTCGAAGATGTGAAGGTCTGTACGACTACCAAGCATGATGCCTCCCCAAACGTCCTTTGCCACCTCCATACCTGTCCTTTTCAATGATGTTCGAGGGATGATTGCGGCTTCCCCGCTCTCTCCAGATGAGTATGCGATGAGAATCGCTACTCAGACTGAATCTGCTCTCATCTGTAAATAGTACTGGTCCCCATTCATTGTCTCTCCAATTCCGGTGTTCCCGGCACCAAAGAGAACGCCTTCTCCGATGGGCAGGCGTTAGAGGTACACACTGTACAGGGCGTCATGCAAACAGACCACCACCATGCAGTCTTCTGGCCACGGTAAAACGCGATGTCGGTCGTCCAGTCGCCTGTGTCATGTGTCTAGCGATTTCACCCGCTGTCTGCCACCTGTTTCTTCTGGCCTGTAAGGCAATATACCGGTCATCTGCGGGTGTGGTTCCTCGTGGACGACCACTACTAAACCCCCGGATAGCTGTTCCTGTAGTTTGAAATTGTCTCCAAAGTCGTGAAACGATGCTGTGAACAATTCCGAACTCTGCAGCCACACTTGTCACTCTGCGGCCTTCCTCCAACTTCCCAATGATTCGACCTCGGGTAAAAGCATCCAGATGTCGTCTAACAGATTGATTATTCGCCATTTCTCGCTGAGGAAGCAAACTCGGTGTGATTTTATTTTAACTGCTATACGGCGTGCAATCTCTTTGCCAGAAATACTGATCTTACACCGACAACATGCCTTATACTACTCAGACACTCCCCCATTACGTCTACCTGCATATCTGCGCATTTGCTACCGTACATCACCTTACTTAATCTCCTGATTGGTCTTTCTGTCCGCTCTGCCTCTTCGTTCAGCTGATATGCTAATTTTTCGACTTCGTCCTTAATTTTTGCACACCAGTGTATTTCGAAGCGAACAAAATACCAAGGTATAATAAATAAAACAGTTAAAAATGAGCAACTGAAATTAAATGAAACAGAGAAATGAAATTATAAATACATGAATGAATTAAATACAAGTAAATAATAAAGCGATGAGAAAAATTAAACGAATTTTAAATAAACGGAATGCGACACAATTTATAATATTAATGCTGAGGGGGTAATTAATGTAAAGGGAAACCATAATTTTCCCCGGTTTAGCGTAAATCTGGATTTTTCTTTGGAACGTCTTTCAACAAAGAAATCTCTAGATGGATGATAATCCTGATGTGCTTTTCTTAAGTATCCAGTTCAAAGCGGAAAAAATAAGTTCATTTAAGATAAGCGAAATACTTCTTTTCATCAAAGATTTCATGAAAATTATTTGCCTTCCTAGCTATAAATGGAAATTTTTTCAATGGAGAGTTTAAATGCAGGAACACTTAAATGAAGCATTAAAATTGTTCAGAATAACTATAAAAATTCTGATGTAGGCAATCAATCGTTGCACGCCCATGTATTATTCCTTACTGAACTTTGATTTTCCCTTTTTAAGGATGTTTCTGTGAGGTTTTCTGAAAATCTGTTTAGTTTTTATAAAATCTTTTAGTTTCACTGCAAAGTAAACGAGTTCTGGTCACCTAGAAGCGAATTAATTTGCTAAATGAAACAACGAAACCTGGTTTTTTAATTCCTGTCGAATGATGTGGCTCCATGGCTGATTTCATGCTTACCTTATTTACGACTTAAATACAAGCTAATTTCCCTCAGAAAATCTTTTACAAATGCATCCCCCGGTACTATTTTGCAGTTTACATATAAACAACCAATAAACAAGTACACTACGTAGTACTAACTATTTATTCTGTAACTATGGCCATGTAAATAAAATGCTTGAACTCAAATTTACACTGCAAGTTCAGTCACGAATGCATTAAAGGATCAACAACAAAACGTTTAAGGGGGAAAATATTGTTACATACGGTTAATAAAATTTATTCTTATCAAAAGAAATACAGTTAAACTTCAAACTACTAAAAGGTTAAAATAAAACGCAATGCAAAGCGTATCTAAAGAGAAAGCTAATTCAGATATCTCAGTTCATACGAAACTAAACAACTCGCAACAATAACCAAACAACTAAACTCAGACGCTCTGTCTCCGACCTTTTAGAGTTTTCAACCGGTCGCGAGAAATTTCTAACACTTTCTGCTTCTCCATATTTCTGGAAAGCAATAAGAGGATAGAATTAAGATTATACAGCTAACATAGTGGTCAATTACATCTATTCAGTTTCAATACAAATTACCGAGATAACTATTTACTCAATGTTAAATGCACGTGCTCCTGTATTCTTACTTTTCCGGCATAGCTTTCTCATAAAATTTGTCTCGCGATGCATTGCACGGGGAAATACAACAATTTTAATTATAATTCTACTAAAATTAACTATCTAAGTACAAAATGCATCACAATATTTTTTATCTCTCAATGTCATAAGCCCAGTAAATGACCTGTAAATTTCAAAAAATATTTTACATGCTATGAGCAATGTTTATATGCACTTTGCAAATTTAGCACGCACATTAACGAAATATGATAGTTTCTTTTAAAACTGCTAGTTTTTCGCGTGTTTTGTCCTTATAACATGCAGTTTTCGACTACATTTAACGAAACTGGTAGACTTAAGATAATTTACAGAAAAATTTCAGCCGGTGACAATTTAGAGAAATATTGACAATATGGTAATTAATTTCTCAAATTAATTAGATTATAATGGATTTGACACAAAATATCACTTTCTTAATTTAACTTTTCTTCATGTTAACGTTAAGTATGTAGTTTTTATGCTCAAACCTATTTTTCCGTTCCTTGTACAGATCATTACTACTAAAAACGTTCTTCTTCTTCTTTTTTTACGCATAATAATTGAATAGCTCACATACAGCAAAGGATGTGCCAAATAAATTTAAAAAATGCGATTTGTAAAACATTTCTTAACCATAAATATGAGACAGTTTCCCTTACAAAATCGTCTAAGAAATCATCCCTCTCATTAGGCACCCTTGCGGTTAAACTGTAAAAACAAGCAAAATTATTTCCGTCTTATCCGACAATTTCCACCCTTTTTCTAAGGGCTTTTTAATCGAACACGGCATTCAGCCCTCATGAATATTCCATTTTCTAAAGAATCAACTTTCCATTAGTCGGCAGTTTAACAGTTCGTGTCATTTCCTTTGAGAAAGTGAGGCACTAAATCAATGGCTAAAAAGTAATTTTTCAAAAAGGCAACGTAATTAATAAAGAAAGCCATGAGTGTTACAGAATTTTCTGCTACAATTCCCAACGAAGAAATGACAGAATCCATCTCATTTTTGGTTCAATTGAAATTAGCAAAATCCTTTCAGAGAGTAAGAATTACCAAAGCCGGGACACATTTGAATTTAAGTCTATATAATAATTGAAATGGAATACTTACTGAAAACAGGACTAGAACAACAGTTACACCAGTAAGAAGGAAAACAATCGTTGTTATACTTGTACCAATCCATAGAGAAAGCTTATGTCTTCTCTCCTGAAATTATAACATAGGAAGGATTCATTGCACCCCACATACAAAATAGTTAACAGAATCATGATACTAACATTAGCAGACAAATTTATTCATTTATTAAATCAATGTGAATTTCTGTCTCCAGTAAATTTCATTAAAAAGTGCGATAACGTTATATAAAGTGTTGAGAACGTTAGATGAAACAAATTACAGCTGAAATGATTTTGGTATACCGCTTCGTTCAGGAGATAAAATGATTCTGGAAAAGGCTTTCATTTCTATTCGTAATTATGACTGACATTTTGATTCAAATTGTTGGTGAACAAACTAAACTGCAAGCAAAAAGTTAATGAAAGATGCACGCATATCAGATAACAAGCCATGACACATTCATTATTACGTACTGTTAAATACGCAGTATGTATTGCTTTATATTAAAGACAATACAGAAACAGGTGCGACACAGCTATCGCGTTGCCGTAAATTGCCAACCGTTGACTTGCGAACGGCATTGGATTCTTGGATTATGGGCTTTCTAAATATACTTAAAGATTCCTTAATGCAGTCTTTCGAAGGCTGTCGATAGCTTGATAGGAATCTTCTTTGAATGTGGGTTACAGCTGATTTCATACGGCGCATAAGAAGCGATAACTTCTTAGCCATCATAAAGAATAAGTCATGAGTATCCCTCATTCGTTCAACAGAAAAGGCCATCACAAGAATTTGAATTCCTTTATCTCCTGAACGAAATGACCTACTGAAGCCATTCCGCTGGCACTTTGTTTCATCTATCCCCTTCCCCAAATACGCCACATAATGCTGTCGCCCTTTTTCTGCGACACCCTTAGTAAATCTAGAATCTCTTAAAATTTCGGAATCTACATATATAAAGAAGAAAGTATGTTTGTTTGTTCGCTAATAGCTCAGTCACTACTATAGCTATCGTCATCAAACTTTCTACAATTCTTTTCTGGGTCCTGGAAAAGGACGACGTCCACTTTTTACTAAAAAAAAAAGCTAAAATCAGAGATATTAAATAAAAATGCTTAAAACGCTGATTTTCGCCCTCATTTTTACGAGTGGCAACAATCTCGCACGCTGGAGATAAAAATCTGCTTTATTTCGCAAAGCGGTGCCACTGTTCGCTTTCAGATCGTAGAGTTTGTTAATAGCAAATTCTTAAGTTTTACAATCAAATAAAAATAGCATTGCCAAGCATTAAGTACGTTATTCCCGATTTCAAAAAATCGTGGGAAGCCATTTCGGCTACTCTCATCTTCTAATCAGCCGAAATATTGATTAAAAACTCTGAAGACACTAATTTTCGGGCTCATTTTCCCGAGTCTCGCTCGTTGGTGTTGGTGTATTTAATTATGGCAAAGCACACTAGGGCTATCTGTCTAAGGGGAGGGATCCTTCGTGGAGGACTTTCTAAGGGAAACTGGCTCGTATACACGTTACACATGGGGAAAACCACGAAAACACCCATGCAGCCAGCCCGTTCTAGGAATTCGAACCTCGGACCGAACTACCAGTCTTCAGCGACTTTACCGCTCGGCCGCTGGTGGGCCTCGCTCGTTGGAGATAAAATGCTTTATTTCGAAAAGTGTTGCTACTGCTCACTTTCAAATCGTAGAGTTTGTTAATCAAAAATTTGTAAGTTTTACAAAATCTATATATATAAAGAAAAATGTCTCTTTGTGCGTTTGTTTGTTTGTTCGCGTTATTGATTTCTGATCACTTGTGATCAATTTTTTGCCACATTTAATGGACTAAAATTGAATATAGGCGAAATATTGGATGGAACTTGACTTTTTACGACCATTTTATTAGAAAGACGAAAATCATTAAAAACTGCGTGCCATTGTTGCTGATATGAGAGAGAATTAGTTTATTTTTCTATAGAAATTTTTTATGTGGGTTACATATAGCATCAGACTGAAAAATGTATGACTATGAATCGTATTTTTTGCATCGTTATTAGAGAAGGATTACAGCGGCATGGTCGTGTCTGTTGTTAGGTACATTACTCACAGTCTAACCTAACTGGCATCGGGTACTTCCGCTAGTTGAACTATAAATTAAATAGTAAATTATAAGTTTTAATATAAATTAAGTTGATCTGAAATATCGTAATATTCAAAGACGTGAATATTAAATTCAGTTTTCTGCTTTTGTACGTTAAAACCTTTCTTCCAATGTTATTAAAATTAATTTAAAAAATAGTCATGCATTAAGGAAGTCTTATATTCAGAGTCGACTTCAGAATACCTAGAACTGATGCCATCGCATCTGGCAACGGAATTTAAGAGCCATACAGACGATACCGGGCGGCAAAAGTGTAGCAACGGTTCAGCTTGCATTTAAAAATATTCCTCGCCAATAAATAAATAAATAAAAAGAATTGAAAAAACTAGAGACTAAAAATAGCACTTTTTAACTAAAGAAATATTATTCCTTGGAATCAAGCAGTCAAACCAGAATAGCTTTTTATGGCGATGACCTAATGCAAGCGTTTTATAAAATTAAGACAAACTAATCGACATACACATCTGTGATCTTGCTCATTTAGAGATCACGTGCAATGAAGCGATTATTAAAGAAAAAGAACAATCTTTTCTTCTTTCCACATTGAAAAATTTTTTAAGTTTATTTTATCAGGAAAATGAAATTCAACGAACTTGGTCCATTACTTACTGTGAATGTACATAATTTGAACTTCAAACGAGCAAACATACATAAAACACTGAACAGAATGTACAACACTCAAATCAGAGCATGAAGGTAAAAACGATTAACGTATTCAAAGTGACGTACTTGACACTATAACGAGTAAGTAAATAGCATTCATAGCTTTCTCGAAAACAGGCTCGCTCTTTCAAATAAAACGTTTAGATTTTTTAGAAGAATCTTTCAGTTTAACAATAGATCATGAATTTTCGAAATTTCAGAACATTTTGCTACTCAGAAATGAGTTCAATTTGTGACATTTAGTGAATTATGAATAAAATAAAGTTTAGTTTTATTTATTAGTATAATTTAAGGTTTAGTTTATCACAAGAATTTCTCATTTCTAAAGCTGGCCGTTGTCAATGAAGTCTGTAATTCTTGATTAACCCTGCGACTTCGGCTTCATTTTGCGTCATACTAATCTTTCACAATCTTTAACACTAAGAAATCTTTGAGTTTAACAGTAAGATTTCCGAAGATTAAATTAGACTTAATTATAACAAACAAGAAAATTCGTTATTTTGAGGAGCTGGATATTCTAATATGAGTGAAACATTTTAATAACAATTTTAAATTTTTCAAATATTTAATTTTAAAAAAACGATAAAAATGAAAATTAACATTGTAACCTACATTAAAATCCAACGCTTTTTATGCATATATTAAACTGTATAAAAAAAATATCAATGGAGAGAATAACTACAGTGTCAGGCAACTGATTTCTAAGTGTGCACTAAATCTTTGATTAGGGAAATCATGAAGTAAAATAACTTTAAGAAATAAGAAATTAAATATTCATTTTTGTATAACAGCATTGATGATACATTTATGAAGAATAATAAAAATTATTAGCTTTTTTATAAAAGCAAATCCGGTGGCTGTTATAATGGCAGAATAAAAAGCCCGCCTATGACAGTTAATACCTACAAAGATATTTAGACATAATCTGTTTATTTAAAGAAAACTATTATTGTCAAAAAACAGAGAGTTGATTCAGAAATACTATTTATCTATTTCTTCTGATAAGTTTTTTAATTACCCTAACCTTAACTATCAAGACTTGTGATAAAGATAAAATCATACAGTGCTTGAAATAAATTTTGCCTGCCACAGAATAACAAGTGAAAAACATTTGCAGTCATATATAAGAGACGTAATGAATATTCGACAGAAATGAATCACTTACATCCTTCACTCCACGGATGAGACCACGACTGATTACTATATAAAATATAGCGTAGCAGGCAACGAAAAATGCAACTAGTTTGGAATCTAAAAGTATAAACCATATTTATCATAATAAAAATTCATATAGCAATGTAAATATAGCAGTAGCAATATAAGGTAATAGCAATAAAGTCGCTGGCAGTAGACACTAAAAAATTTGAGCGGATGAAACAAAATAATTTTATGAAATACAGAAAACAATTTTTAAGTTCTTGAATAATTTATTGAATAATATTGTAAATTTATTGTATAATATTTTGAAATCGTGTTACCAAATTTTTCTTTGTTTCATAGAATGCATAAATTTTAGTTAGATCGATTTAATCGATTAAAATTCTTAAACGTTATGTTGTCCAGCAGTGGCCGAGTGGTAAAATCGCTGAACACTGGCAGTTCCGACCTGGGTTCGAATCTAGGCGAACAGGCTGGCCGCATAGGCGTTTTCGTGGTTTTTCCGATGTGCAACGTGTATACGAGCCAGTGTCCCTTGGAAAGTCCTCCACGAAGGCATCCCTCCCCTTAGGCAGAAGCCCAGTCCGTTTTGCCATAATAAACTAAACCAAACTAAACGTTATATTAGTTGGTTAATTAAAGCAAGTTATTTAGTCATAAAGAAATTATGCTTTCGTCGAGGATTTCCTTGCATGATACACAGAAAAAAAAGACGAGAACTCCAGCAGTCTCTTGGTACTAAAGCCAGGGCAAACTAATGGTATTCCACTGCTTTAACAATTCGTTCAGTAACAAGCGTTATTCGTTAGAATATACTGGGGGATTAAAACATATCCGGCAAAAATGTAAAGGCGGTTATGGGGGGGACCGAAATCAGCATATATTTAATGGAATGTGTGCACAGAAATATCGCGTTGATGTGATACAAGAACGAAGTTGAGGGGCATAAAAGTGTTTTGCTAAGTCATCAGGCGTAGATCGAGAGTTTTGAACGGTATGCATCGCCGACATGCATTATACCTATGGGATTGCGAACAGAAACTGAGTAGTTGTTCAAAGGATATAGACGGGAATCATTCTCTGTATATCCTTTGAGTAACCGTTCCGTTTTAGTTACAGGCTTATAGATAAAATTGAATACCGGTGAATTCCGTTCTCCTCAAAATTCGCATGGGTAATGATGATTTACGCTAGCAGAATATCTTTTATTTACTGCTCAACAGCGCCCTGTATTATCTCGATGAGACATTTCTCCATATCCATTCCACAATCTACTTATTTCGGTCCCCTCGATCTGACTTTGAACTGATTACTAGTTCGAAACCAAAAGTTCTAATCCCATGTAAGTCTTGCCACAGTATGACCATCCAAAAAAAAAAGGTTTCACATAATTCATGCAAAAAAGTACATACTTCTTATTTGCTTTGTTTTCTCTACCTTTGGAGAATTTAATATGCTGTGTTAGCATTATCGATGAGCTAAACATAAAAATATGAAATTGGCCTATTTCCGATAAATATAGAAAGAAAAAGGAAATGGACTTATCTCAGTGTAATTATAATTAAACTCAATTTTTAGTTACCTATATGTTTTATTTATATATCAATATTTTACATTTTCATATGGTGTTTATATATAGTAAATACTTCGTTTATTTAACATGCTAACTATACGCAAGTATCGTTCTCTATTAAGATCTTCATTGCTGTTTCCTTCAGTAAGATTAAAAAAAGTTCAAAGCAAATGGCATCATGAAGTAAGAACAGTCTGTTTGTACATTTCAAGATTTAACATCACTAATTATTTTAATACAGCCTCACTGAAATTTATTCACTAGAAAACTTTATTGAAAGCCCAACCAGTATTCCACCTTTAGTGTCTTAATATATCTTTCTGGAACTTCACCGTCATCTAAACTCTTTTCAGAATGGTTTCTGTTCTAGTCTGAAGATATTTGATTTCTAAGCACGAGAACTAAACATTATCGTCTCTGTTTATCTTTTCAAATTATGTTATTTGTAGCAAATTAAGATTTATTAAAATATTTCATGATCATTTTAATTTTATTTCTTTCTAATGAAATAAAAAGACGAAGGCACAGAAATTCATTGCTTTAGTGACTAAATTTAGATTTACATATTTAGGTAGAATAAAGGATGAATAGGAAGAGCATGTGTTAATCAAGAAATATAAGAAAGCAATTTCGGTGTTAAATATAATCATCTTCTACTCTTTACGTGAGGTCATACGTGCAACCCTCTTATGTAATTTTCATTTCTGTTTCTCAAAAGGAAAAAAAGAAGTATATATTGTGGCAAAATTACCAGAACACTAAAAATTTATAAAAAGAATTAAATTTAGTACGAATGTCCTAGTAGTGGCCACCGTGCCCAGCTGTATCTGCAACCTGGACAACGTTTCCGGTGAAGGAATGTCTAAATGATTAATGAGTTTTTGCCATAATTTTTAATAAATGCTTAACTAGCAAGTGTCCGATCCCTGGAGTTAAAAAAATTGCTTTAAATATTATTTACATCAATTTTTCTTCATATTAGACATACAAACAGTTTTTATACTATCCTAGGCCGACAAGTCTGTTGCATTATAGGACATTGTATATGGCTCATTTAAAAATGGAAATAATGGTCACATCTAGAAAATTTTCCACGCATATTTCAATAACTAAATTTCACTAATTTGGATAAGTGTTATTAAACAATCTTAAACGTAAAGACTGAGCACGTTTCGATAGATTTATGTGATATTCATTCAGTAGTAGCAAAATGTTTTCATCTGCATGATAATACAGTTGCTCCCAAAAGTGTTCGTACACTTACGAGCTTCGTGAAATATTGCTTTATTCATTAATTAAAATTAATATTTGAGAATGAGAATTTTTTAATAACATACATAAATTTCTCTTAGCAAAACTACATTAATTATTTTATCGACACAGAAAAACTTTTTTAGAGGCAAAATCAGTTATAAAAAAGTAACATAAAAGTTACCTCACAAAAGTCTTCTCGTGTTCTTTAAAGAAAGCTATACATATTAGTAAATATTGTAGTATTTCTGTTAGTATTTTGTAAGATATCCTGAAGGATTTATGACAGCTTTCAGACGTCTGGGCATAGAGTTCCCCAGTTTGTTTTTTAATTATCTGCTTCATAATTCCTCCATTCTTCCATCATTGCCATTTTTAGTTCGCTTTTCAATTTGATACCGTGTCTTCTTCCTCTAACCTCTAATTCTCTCCAAACGTGCTCTGTCAGGTTTAATCTGGCGACTAAGGTGGTGTTTTCAGAATTTGCGGATAATTATAAATACACCTTAAGACAGGGATACGAAGGAAAGGCTTTTCTACGGGAAACTGACCTCACATACACGTTACGCATGGAGAAAACTACGAAAGCGCCCATGCAGTCAGCCCGTTCACGGAATTCGAACCTCAGACCGAACTAGCAGTGTTCAGCGACTTCACCTTTCGGCCACTGATGAGCCGGTGCATCACAAGGTGGTGGTGTATTTAATTGTAGAAAACGCACACTAGGGCTATCTGCCTAAGGGGAGGGATGTCTTCGTGGAGGACTTTCTAAGGGAAACTGGCTCGGTGCATCACAGGGAGCAACCGATTAACATACACGTGAAGAGGTACAATACAATTACATTCAAGCCTTAGCAGGAGTCGAAGCCACGCCTTTGATTTCGAATTTAAAGAAATACATTGCTCTACCAACTTTATTGTCCAGGACGGCCTGAAAAATATTTTACATGATTAGTAGTAAAAAAAAATCTTTCTAAATAGAGTATGCAGTCAAGATTAGAAATGTCGTATTTTCTTATGCTGATCAAGATTGTAAAAAACTGAAAAATGACGAACCATATATCCAGACACATTTTATAATTAGATCTCACTGACATGTTGCACGATTTAAGGCAAAGCGCATCATAATTTTATATTAAATTAACACTTATAGCAATTTGTTGTACAGAAAATACTTTTTTAAAAGAAAATTCAAAACTGGCAAAACTGATAATGAAAAATGCCACACAGAAAATTTCAAGCGAAGATCTTACTTGCTTTAAGCCCAAGGGATCTTTATACAAGAGACAGACGGTCAGACTTAATGCTTTTCTTATTATGTGGTTTGCAAGACAAAAGACACTTCCCCATGTGTAACTTGAATATGAGCTAGTTCCTTTTACAAAGTTCTCCACGAAGGCAATCCTCCCTTTGAGCAAATTGATGTCCTGAGCTTTTTCTTATTTAATTAAACAATCAAATGAAATATAATTTTCCACTAATTCGGTTTCATTGATACTTATAGCAGGGATGCGTTCGAAAAGAATTTGCCTGACGTGTGGGAAATTCGCACATTTTCTTTAGTAGCATAAAGAAATTAAATACTACAGTCAAATCTTAATAAATCGCATCAGCTTATTAACCGGATTGCAGGCTAATCAGGCTTTGTCTGAAATAAAATTGTTTATTTATTGCATAATAATGGGAAAATAAAAATATATTCTTAAGAAAAATAAATTTAGTGTACAACTCTTAATTTTTTTGCTTCCCATCGACTAGCATCTAAATAAAGGGCTAATGCAAACAAAAGCAAAAGCATTCTGTATTGAAGTGTGCCCATATTTTGAATGCTGATTCAATTTATGTAACCGAATGAATTCATTTTCCAAATTAAATTGCTTAAAAATACGGGTAAATTCTGAAACGGTATTTTTTTTTTCTTTTAACTATAATATTGGTTTTTCCGATTTATGTCATCTTTGTATTAGAGTTTGTAAACTGATAGCTTCATTTTAAGATTCTATAAAATCTGTTATAATTCTTAACGCTTCAAAAACTTGGGACGTTTTAAGACATTCCGTGCAGGATAAATGAAATTGGAACATCATCAGAGAATAATTTGATCAATACAATAAAAGCAGTCTTAATATGTTAGACACTACAACGCTAAAAAGCAAGTCAGCTAAAAAGCCAAACGATGCTATATTGAAATACGCTTTACACAGCTTTTAAGAAAAATCTCTTGTTAATTATAATAGTGCTTCATGTGTTCACAATTATCAACTAGGTA